GCAATTTGAAATAATTGATGATGCGTTTTTTTTTTACATATTCATTTACAAATGCTCATGAAGGTGGCAACCGCAACATATAATTACCAACTGGATCATCTATTTTAAGTTTTCGGGCCTTTGCAATTTTGAGTTTTTGGATAATTATTAATAATGTTGCTAGTTCATCTCGAAAACAAAACATGGCTCGAAAGAGGTCATAAAGGTAATATAAATCTAGCACCGTTGTTGGCAAAGAGAACCGGGACAATGTTCTTCGACGATAGATTCCACGTCCAACTATTTCCACCGCAGAGATGGAACAATAAAAGCCTATAAAACAAAGAATGTGTTAAATTTCGAAAACGCATCATCAGAACCGACTTATGCTAAAAATAAAAAGGGCCAATCTTACCTTCCGTCTGAAATCCAAATACCTTGAGCTTTTTGGCCAGCTCAAATTCGCATTCCTTAAAGTCTTCGAGGAGATTATTGAGCGCATCCACCATGCATTCATCGAGTTTAATTTTGTCATCTCCTGTGTGTCTAGCTGGAAGCCGGGTTGGTGCTCCAGATAACTCAAAAATAAGAAGTTCCTTGTCATCTTTGCTAACGAGGGACCCAATATCATCAGCCTTTGATCCAATTCTACGTCTTTTACCCTCTGCTAGTTTGAAATTTCGTCGGGTAGCCGAAGACGTACTCGAAATTTCACCCCTATAATATTTTTTGTCAAACGGGAACAAGAATCAAACAGTAAATTACACAGAAAAAAAGGGTAGCTTACCATGTTATATCCATCAAGTCCTTGAATATGAAAACAAACGGTTCGATAATAGGCTCTATAAACCTTGCGCGGAATGTTGACTCGTTGGCTGGTCGTTGCGAGAAATATTCTGGCCGGGTTTCAAGACAAAAAAGGCTATAATTTCAATGATATTAGTAAAGGGTAAGCTTTGTTCATCTTATAATATCATCATACCAACAGTAATTACAAGTAATCGAAGACTCTACGAGTATATTCGTCCACATCCGTAAATGGAATGGCTCCTTGGTAAGATTTAAAGGAGTCCCGTATTTTTTTAATATCAGAATTTTTCAAATAAAAGTCAAGTTGCTCTTCCACGGAACGAGGTAATTCTGTTGATATTTGCGGGATGGAAGTAATGGCAGTCCATTCGTCATCAGAGCAAAATAGAGGTTTTATTTGGTTTGCAACATCATCCAAATCAATAATGTACGCATAATATGCTCTATGCAAAGGAAGATCGGAACAAGCTGAATGTGATGAGTAAATTGGAAGCAACATTAAAGCGCAAGAAACTGTTAATACTCTTCGAAATCTTCATCTTTTTCACTGTCAGAGTTCATATGAATTGAACTGGTAACAGTCTCATCGCTATCTTCGGGCTCATGAGTTAAATTACTACTTCTGTTCCGAATCTATAAAGCATTTTAGCAAGCATATATATATATATATATATATCCACTAAAATAACATGCAGTAGATTCTAAATATTCTACCAGTTCTGTAAATCCTTCAAAGTGCATGGTAAACAGTTCTTCGCCGAGCCTGGCTTTATTTTGGAGATTACCTATATTCCTCCAAAAATTAACAACAGCCTGAGATTTGCGTTCTTTCTATTGAAGCGAAAAAAAATTATACACAAATCACAACTCTAAAAACAAACAGAAAACGAAACGTATATCTCAAAGGATAAAGCAAGGGATTGCAGTCAACTGCGGGACCAAAGCAGAGGATGGTCTGACAGAAGATAGAATCCCATTGAAAGATGGAGATGAAAAGCAGAGGATTCTACCACAAAGTGAAAGCAAAGGATCACCGTGGCCTCCATCTTTCACTGGTATGCTCTTTGAAAGCAGAGGATCTTATCCTGTATCCAACGGATCTTACCCTGTATCCAAAGCAGCGGATGGGTACAGAGAGAGCATACCAACTGCTGATTCCATATAAATAAAATACATAACTTCATAATTTTTGATGCTCTTATCTGCCAACTTTTGAATCCGCGAGGAAGGATGTCTTTTCCAGATTTCATTGAGGTGGGCAATCCAATTT